TTTGTTCGTTTCCCAAGTGTAGAAGGCTCTTCTCTCACATCCACCTTATCAAGACCTGTCTTGGACAGTCTCCTTTTGCTTGCTGGGGTTCTGACCGGTTCTGGAAATGGAGATTTGTTGGGCATTTTTGTGATTTTGTCACCAGGGACTGGTGATAGAAAGAGTTCCCGGAAACCAGCCAGGTCTTCCAGGCTCTGAGCCTTTTCCTTAGCTTTTCCTACTGGCCTCTTGGTACTAGATACAGTTACATCCGGCATTTGATTTTCAGGTTCCTTTAAAACTTTGATGGTCCCATGCTCAAGTTCTGGAACTTTGGAAGTATGCCTGGTTCCTCCTGACATGTGTACAAACGTCTTTAGTGTAGACTGTTCTTCTTTCATGTCTACTTTCTTCCCAGATGTGCTGGGCCGTGTTTTTGTGCTTGTTTTGGTCTTCTCTGTTGTAGGTTGTGGGGATTTGCAAAGGACTTTGGTTTTATCATCGCCTATGGGTTTGTCTCTGCAGTTTGGCGTTTCAAAGGGCTCCTTGAGACTAGCTGGGCCTTCTTGAGGTTGGGTCTTTTTATCAGGAGTCCTTGACCACCGCTTCACTTTGGCTGCACATACTAGCTCCACTTTCTGCTTTTTAGCTCTTTGGTCATCATATATTGGTGTGTTTTGCATGTGCATGGATTCCTCTGGTTCTCCTGTGGTTCCTTTTTCTTGATTAAGTAGTTCCTCAGCACAGGCTGCTGTTTGGGTGATCATCTGACTTCCTATTACTTCTTTTGTTGGCTTCTGCTCCCTGGCACTTGATCTCATAGCTGATGTTTTTTCTGGATCTTCTTTTAATTCAACATTTTCCTTGAGTCTTTGTGAAGAGTTTTTACTGTCCTGAACCTGTCGGTCCACTTCTTGTCCTTGCAGTGATGTCTTCCTTGGGTGTCTGCCTTTGATGCCCTCGGCAAAGTCGGCTTCTGTGTTTTCATGCATACTTTCTACAAGTGTATGTCTGAGCTCTCTAGACCTTCTTAATTTGCTCGCACTGGATACTGTCTTCAGAGGCTCTGTCACAGAGCCTGGAGTCTTCTTTTCAAGGTGAGTAATGTTAGGGACATTCCTAGGAGTTTGCACTGTGTTTTCACTTTTGATGCTCCTCCGTCTTAAGATAGGACTTGCAGAATATTTATCAGATGGCTCCTTTGCTGCATTCCGAGTACTGGATAGTACATTTTCTCCTATAGGAAACAAAATATATACACAATAAACACATCATTTTTATCATCTAAGGTCAACTTAGTATTTTATCTTTAGGAAGTGTATAAGAACCAATAATATAGTTTTTTATATAACAAGCTACTAGATGATCTCAAGTCTGTCCTATAATGTTATTTGATGATAGAGAAAAGCCATTGTGAATTGTCTTTAAGAAGTGTCTTCTAAAGGCTGCCATGACATGTGACATGGACCTAAAGACAGGCAATTTTTGTTCTGAAACATCAAACAGTTATTTATTGTCTTGATTCACTAATGAAGTAACAGGTTCTATTGTGTATGTTTAGAACTCTATATGTAATCAATGATGACCTTCTAATCCTCCTGCCTCCACCTACCAAGTATTGGGATTACAGGTATCACCACACCAAATTTTTGCAATACTAGACACTGAACCCAGATTTTCCTGCATGCCAGGCAAGCATTCCACAATTGAGTTGCATCTCCATCCTTGCAATAACTCTTAATTTGTGTAATATATGACAGGCCAAATGTACTGTTTGTGCTTCCATCCTCTTAACAAAGAAGTTACAAGCATACAGACATCATTTAAACTTATTAACTGAGTCAGTAATTCTTCCTACCTGGCTAGGTCAATGACTAATGTCAGTAAAACTACAAAGACTGCTTGCAAACAGAACAGAGAAGGTGGAAATGGCATTTCACCAGGGAAAGCTATCGTAGAGAAGGAATACAGTATTGCCCATAAAGAAAGAAAACATCTTCAAGTTCTCATTCAAAAGTACAACAGTGGAAACAGACAAATAAACCAACCTAAAATCTCTGAGGTGATAGGAAGAGGTTTGTCTCCTGAATTAGTTACTTGAAACTGTTTTTCAGGTAAATTCTCTGAATTGGAAAGAATGGAGCCCACGTCATTCATCTGTTGCTGCTTCTCCTTCACTGGAGTCTTGAACATTTCAGTTAGTCCTGATAAAGGGAAATATTGGAAACATGGCTTACATTATCCCATTTCTCACACAGGACAAGCTAGATGACAGAGAAGCTCTCAGATTCTAGGTATACATCATCTCATTAAAATGGTGATTTTTGTTTTTAACATGCTCATTTAAAAGGGGCGGCAGCGGCGGCGGCGGGGTGGGGAGTGAGGGGTGGGGCGGGGGCACGATAAGAAGAAAAAATATATCCAGCTTCTTTAACCTTCTCCTATGGGAAAGGAAATCAAGTGATTTAGTTGACCACTGTAGTCTTCTAAACTAGTTCCCAAAATAAGCCTTGGCAGGGGGACAAAAGCTGGGCACAGGTACCTCTTCTCAGGGAACGTCCAACAGAAGCAATCAACGACCTAAGGGCCTTGTTCTGTGCTCAAGAAATCCTAGGTTTCTCAGGATCTAAATCCTATGACAAATGATGTGTGCTCATACATTAGAATATTGACAATTTTAAGTGCTATCAAGAATACACATGCAGGCACATATACTTTAATCTAAGTGCCATTCCCATTCACTTTAAAACCAAAAGGCAGTAGTGACATAACTCTATATGGAAGATTAAGCTTCCTGAAAAGCTCATGTGCCATGCTCCTGTCTTGAGGCCACCAAAGAATGAGAAGTTGAGCTGGCACTCACCACAGAATGGGTCTGAGAACCTCTGAAGTGCCCGTCCACACTAGTTTGTTCAGCAAGTCTCCTTCTACCATAGCCTTCTGGGCTTTATTGAAATATGTGAAAGGGTTGACTTTCTACTGTTTTAAAATGGAAGCTGGCAAGCCAGGCATGGTAACCCTAAGAAGGTAGGAGCAGGCAGATCTCTGCAGGTTTGAAGCCAGCCTGGATAGTTAAGACTGTCTCAAGAAACAAAGAAAAGGGGGTGGGGATTGCCTACACCAAGGGATAAGATTTGTCTGACTCTAAGAATGAATGAGTCTAGGAGGAAGGAACATTAATGACAATCCACTGTCTCAGGCACTGTGTACTTAAAATCTTATTTATCTTTGAGTTTTTCAAATATAATATATACATTCACCGCACACTCATAATTTATAATCACACACATACCCTTATCTACTGTTTTCTTTTTGTCTTTTGTTTTTATAAAGATAAATGAATTGATCCAAATATAGTTCTTCGAGGGGCTACTCACAAACATTATACACTGAGGTGTTTGGTCATTTTCTATTCCTAATCTGTAAGAAATGAAAATAAGATTCTACCAGCTCAGTTCATATCTTAATTCTCTTCCAAACTGTACAACTAGAAACTACCACATATTCAGGCACATGAAACAAATCTGCTTTCTTGAGAGTAAGTCTAAGCAACCAACCACACTTTGATATTCAAAATAGAATGGAAAGAGTTCAATTAGCAATGGCTCAAAAGAACTCTCTTATAGGATTCCCTCTCAGCAAGCAGTTGAACTCTCTAGAAAGAAAGTGAATCTTGAAGAAGCATTAATACTGTTCTAAACCAGCTGATTCCCTGGGTCAGCCATCAGTGCAACTCCTCCAAAGTTAGTACTAGAGCCCTTTGCTCCCACACCACAAAGCACCTTTCCATTTTCTGTACACACGCGGCTCACCAGAGGGTATGTACTTGAGATCTCTATCCCTGATGCCTGTAGGACACAGATCCCCCAAATTGTCAGAGACCTGTTCTCCACTTTCAACCAATTTCATCTTTGAATATTATGACACCAGAAAGCTGGCTCGATTGCTTAGTCTGTAGTCACACTCACTGCCAATGAGCTCCCAGCTGGGGTTCTAAAGTGGTTGTAAGGGGTGGGGTGGAGGTAACAAACACCAAGAAAGTCACAAACAGAATGACCAAGAAGCTTGTGACTACAGGCATTCAGGCTGCATTTACCTGACAGATCTTCATTGAAGTCCATTTTTCGGTTTAACATCAAGTTGTTCAGCATTTTGTAGGGCCGAGCAGGCACGCTTACTTTTTCAATCTGAGCTCTCCCTATTACAATGGTACAGGGAGAGTTTGCATGGCCTGTGCTAAATTGATTGTGAAGGTTGCTTGTAGGTTTCTGTAGACAAGAGCCAAGACAGACAAAATATCACAGCTTGAACAATATATACTCGAGGCAATCGAGAACAAAAGCAGTGCATGGCTGGAGCGCTGTACCTTTGGAGTATTGGGTCTTCTTGGTCTTTTGCTTGTCTGCTTTTGAGGAACATGTTTTACAACTTTTGTCTGTGTTTGTTTTGTGCCGAGTTTTACGACATCTGCCCATGATTTTGCAACTGTCAAAAGGAAAAGATGGTGAAACTTTTCAAAACTCAGCATAAGAAAATTGAGCTTGAAATATTTTGCCCAGGACAACACTAACCAATCAGGTTGGCTTCAGAAGCACCACTCCTTCTTTTGGAGCAAATCATCTGTAAAATGTCATGCTGACTCCGGCTGATGGATGCTCTCTTGGCAGGCAGGTTGCCACTCTTCCTGCCTGCTTTTTTGGGAGTGTCGGTCTGATGTAAGGATTTGCTGTCACTGGAAGCAGGTGAGCTCCTGCCTGATCTGCGTCTTTGATCAATTGCCTTTGGTGGAGATATTCCAGGAGACTCTTGTTTCCCTGGTGACTGAGGCCGTTCCTGATAAGGCAGAGTTGTTTATGAGAAACCTGACCAAAGAGGTAACATCTCTCTAATGTCTATTAAAAACCTTTACAACAAACCATGTAGCCTTTAAATTCTGCCTCTTAAGAATAAGAAAGGGTCAGTTGTCCCATTCATTTCAGCAGAAGGGGACATATGCATCAGTGGAGTCTGAACTGAGCAATTTCTTGTGGAAAGAAACGGGGACATTGCTTAGTGAAATAAGGCACTCTGATTTCATCCCAGCCAACATCAGCTCTGGGGTCTGCATGGAGGTGGCTGCTCACTTCTGGGAGGTGGGATAGGAAGGGGTTAGACAGGACTTCCAGTCCTTTTGGTACTAACAGAATAAAGCTGTCCTGAGTCTTTTTAGGAAATCGAGCTATGCAGCCACCCCAAGGAGAAGCAACAAAACGGTGACAGAGGGTCAAAGGTCTAAGGAGTGAACGTGCAGAAGACAGATGTTTTACCAAAGGTTTTCCTTCCTACAACCTCAATGCCCGTATACTTGCAGAAGAAAACAAAACAATCCTTGTGATCACATATGCTGCTGTCTTCAGTCTTTTAAATGATGTCAGTGTACCCCAGGAAGTTATATGGCCCTATGGGTGTATCAGGGTCTTCTTCAAAGGAAAAGTGCCCAACATACCACCTCACCTCCCAGAACCACCCCAGAACCCATACGGTTGTTTCCGGGCATGAGATAAGTGGTAGAAAAATAAGATCTCAATTGTTATTCTACCTCTGCCTGGGGTTTGCGTGAAACATAGACTATCTGTGAACCACAATGTATAAAAACAATTCTGAGTGTCCAACTTACCTTGATGATTTTCTTCAGGACAGCTGGAGTATGAGTGGCAAGTGACTTCCTCCTGGTCGGTGTTTCTCCTCTTTTGAGTGGTGTATTGGGAGGCAAGTTCTCATCAAATAATTCAGGTCTTAGATGACCACCAAACGATACACGTCTTCTCTTCACAGACATTCCCTCACTCTTGTCTGAAGTAAGGAATGCAAACATGGAAAGAGGAATGTAAACACCATGCCAGGACTTGGAATTTAATTCAAACTAGCATTAGTAATGCATTGAGAAGGCACTGAAACATGGCACCTTTATCCACTAAACTGGAGAAGGCAGAGCAGCCTCAGGACTTCCTAAAAGATCTCAAGAGAAACCAGATGCATTGCACTTCAACTGGACATAACTAGAGTTCTCCTTAAAACTGAAAATTGCACGTGAAATAGCTTCAGAAAGTTATCTGCAGCAGGTGTCACAACCTGAGCAATGGCCTGAAGAAACTTAGTAAGACACGTACACTTAGGCCAGACCGAGACCGGCTTTATGAGTCAACTATATAAGCAGGAAAAATCTCTAGGTAGTGTCTATAGGCAGTTCATGCAACCCAAACCCATTATACAACTTCATGAACAACCACATAAAGCCCTTATCCAGGACAGACACTCCATTATGAAGCTCAATGCAACACTGGCTGGTGGGTACAAGTGTCACACCAAAGGCCAAGGGCAGAAACTCTGCCTGGTATAAAGGTTGTTGCACGGGAGTCTGGAAATCTTTCATTTCTACAAGCCAGTATGAAATAGGTGTGTAGGAAGATGCCACAAGGCTACTTACTATGCAGCCTTGGGTTGTCAGGTCGTGTTTGTAACAGACATAAAGAGAAAGATTTCTGTAGGTGGTGAGATGGCTCAGCAGGTAAGGGTGCTTTGCTGACAAGCCTAAGGACCTAAGGTCAATCCCAGGGACCAATACGGCTCATGGTGGAAGGAGAGAACTGACCCCTACAAGTTGTCCTCAGACTCCTGCATGAGCACCATGGCACATGCTTGTACTCCCTTGTAGTAGAATATTTTAAGGTGTGTTACTTTTGTTTATATTGCATTTGTTTAACTCTGTAATGTTGTGGGATGTCTTTCTGTATGCTGTGAATGTGTTGCTCTGACTGGTTGATAAATAAAGCTGCATTGGCCTATGGCAGGGCAGGATGTAGCAAGGTAGGAAAATCCAGGAGAGATAGGAAGAAGCGAAAGAAGAGGCAGAGAGACACCATCCCGCCATTTAGGGAGCAGCATGTAATGGCACACAGGTAAAGCCATGGAACATGTGGTGACATACAGATTAATAGAAATGAGCTGAGTTTAGTTATAAGATCTAGCTAGCAAGAAAATTGAGCCATAGGCCATGGCCATGTGATTTGTAAGTGATATAAGCCTTATATAAGTGATATAAGTGTGTTTATTTGGGTCTGAGCGCCTGCAGGACTGGGCAGGACACAGGAATACTTCCAGCTACATTTGGCGCTCACTGCTGGGCATTGATCCACATAGATCTAAGAAAGCTTAATGATTCTGAATGCAGAGAAATGGAGCCACACTAGGCTTCCTAATCTCATAGTCTCATGCCAGTAACAGTGTAGAGACTTGTCTCAGATAACTCCCTGTGAGATGGAGCTGGCCACCAGCCACCATAAGCTAAGCAGCATGGAGGATTTCCACTACAGTACACAGTGACGTCTCCAAGCTGCACAGCACAGTGTGGAGGATTTAGCTTTTGCTAGTACACAAAAAAAATTAAAAAAAAAAAAAAAAAAGGTTCTGGGCTACATGCCCCTTGATGAAGGCACAGTCCCACTGCTTCCCAGAGTTGGCTGTGCACATGGCTATAAAGAACAACTTGTTTAAAATGTTTTACACTGCTATGGATTTTAGTTTATTAATTCAAATTTAAAGTTAATTTTGTTATTCTGTATATATATATTTCTACCCTCGTTTAAGGTATTATGTTTATTTAACTCATTTAAATTGTAATGGATAATTAAGAAATACAGATTAATAATTATTCTTCTATGATAGTCAAACTTATAGTCATGTTAGTTAAGTTTTTTAGGTATACATAGATATTATCTTCAAATACTTCAAAGACTTAGAGAATATGGCATTTAAAATGTTTTAAAAACTTAAGACTTTCTGGACAGTGAGACATGTTTGCTCTTGGCAGCACTGATTTACTTCAAAGAGAAAGATGGGCGTCGATTTACTCTATATGGAGTTTATCTTCTTCTTTGCAAAAATAGCCATATGGGCAAGAAACTGCTCTTGACTGGACTGCTGATAATATGCTATAAACTGGACATGCAGGACCCATAGGAAGGTGACCAGTGAACTTTGCAAGACAAAATAGTTCTTCAGGTTCCTGCTTCACAAAAGAGACTGTCAAATATTCTACAGGACACATGGAGAAGCAACTAAAAAACTCAAGGTCTATTGGCTAAAGATGGATGCCCACAACATTACAGAGGAATTTTGAATGACTGTCCAGGCAGGCAGCTGTCTCTGTCATTTCCAGAATTTTTGGAAGTTGCTTACAATGCACTTCCTGTTTACTTAGGCAATATTATATCCTTCTGGGATCTTTGATGTAGTTGAAGACCAAATAGTTATAATTTTCCTTGGTTATGATAAAAGATAAGTTAGATATGAAACCTTAGACTCACAAATATAGGATAAATAGAATATTTTCTTTGAATTTGCCAAATATTAATAGATTAGATATTGTAACTATATTCTTGCTTGATAACTGTTTTGTTATATGTAATTTTATTAGATTAAAGTTAAAACCTTCCTTTTTGTTTAGACAGAAAAAAGGAAGTGCTGTGGGATGGTCTTTCTGTATGCTGTGAATATGTGTTGCTCTGATTGATTGATAAATAAAGCTGCATTGGCCTATGGCAGGGCAGGAAAATCCAGGATAGAAGAAAAAGGAGAGGCAGAGAGACGCCAGCCTGCCTTCCAGGGAGCAGCATGTAATGGCACACAGGTAAAGCCATGGAACATGTGGTAACATATAGATTATTAGAAATGGGCTGAGTTTAGTTATAAGAACTAGCTAGCAAGAAAATTGAGCCACAGGCCATAAACATGTGATTCATAATTGAGATAAGCCTCTGTGTGTTTATTTGGGTCTGAGTGGCTGCAGGACTGAGCGGGACACAGGAAAACTTCCAGCTACATTGTGAAGCTGTGTTATTGTGCCTGTGTAAAACACCTGATGGTTTAATACAGAACTGGACAATAGCAAGGCAGGAGAAAAGATAGGTGGAGCTGGCAGGCAGAGAGTATATATAGAAGAAGAAAACTGGGAGGAGAGAGCTAAGATCTAGGAGCCAAAAGAGGAAGAGGACTCCAGGGGCCAGCCACCCAGCTACACAGCAAGCCAGGGAGTAAAAGTGAGATTTACCAACGTTAGCGAACAGGCAAAAGATAGACAGGATAATTTGAGATAAGGAAAGCTGGCTAGAAACTGAGTCAAGCTAAGGCCAGGCATTCATAATTAAGTATAAGCCTCTGTGTGTGATTTATTTGGGAGCTGGGTGGTAGGCCTCTCAAAAGAGCCAAAAAAAAAAAAAACAAAACAAAAAAAAACACTCCCCCATATATACAAATAAGTAAATGTAATAAAAATTTAAAAACAAAACGCTAATGCCTTGGAAGCACATAGAACTTTGCTGGTGTAGAAACCTGAGTCCATTCCAGTGTCTACAATAAAGTGCTTATAAGAGAATGAGAAAAGAGTGTAAACACTTTTTTCCTGAAGTCAGTCCTGTGATGTGGTTCCCTCCTAAACTAGCTACATCTACTTAGTTATTACTCCTTATAAAAGGCAAAGTCTTCTGTACCCATACACTGAATGAACACCTTGTTAGCTCATAATACATAGGATAAATATTAACCTATTAGGGAAAGTAAATCTACAGTTAAACAACTTACTAATGGAGTCACCAAAGTTGCTGATATCAACAGAACTAAGACCAGGTAGCCCAGAGCAAATCTGCTCAGCTGCAGTGGCCAATTTCTCAGGCTTGCTGAAGGAATCCTTTGGAGTTCTCTTTTCACTTGGAGCAAGGTGCTGAGTTGAAGAGAACCGGTTTTGTGTTTCAGCAGACAGCACTTCTACCTTTGCAGGAATACTCCTCCTCTTTTTGGAAGAGAGATTCTCTGGTGTATCAGCAGGGCTGGCAGCATCTTCAACTTTCACTGAAGTTTGGTTTCTAGTTCCCAGCTTCCTAGGAGTGACTATCCTATGACCTGCCTTGGCACCTTCACTTTCACCCAGATTCATAGACTCTCTTCTGCCAGTAACATGCAAGTCTTCATTCTTAAGCAGCTGTGAATTTCGCACAGGGGTCTTCATCTTAGCTGTCTCAGAGAGAGGAAAGCTGGAGCTCGGAGCCTCTGCGGAAGTCTCAACAGGCCGCACACCATTGTTCTGTGTCACAGCCCCGATCTTGTCTCCTTTGGGTGAAGAGGCTGCAGTTCCAGGCGTGCTTCCACTGGATTTTGGTCTTGACTTGCATGATACCAATAACTTTGTTTCCCATGTATCTTTGCCTGCTGCACATTCAGGTTGTGGTTCTGACTTTCTACGAGACTGTTTCTGTGATTTTATATCCAACTCTTCCTTCATCGACTGATAAAGTTTCTCAAAGGGAGAGTCATTTTTCTTGCTGTTGCTAAGGCTCTGTGCAGGAGAAGACTTCAGTTCCCTGTAACTACTCCCTGTAGCCCCGGACTTCTTAAAAAGACCACCTGATGTGGGCTCTCCTATGCTTCTGCCACTGTGCTGTTCTACATGCCCTGAAGAATGGTTATTGGATGGATCTTGGGTAACACTGTCCTTTGAGCCATCTGAGACTGAACTGTCTCCAGAGAGCCTCTTGGCATGTACCAAAGATCTTCTTGGAGCAGTGGTTTTCGAAGCTTTGGCATCTTGACCTTTCCCATCTTGACAATAAATATGAAATAAGAAACAGAAGGTCAACATTTTCTCAATAACTAACGTTTTTGGAATCCTTATTTTAAGTTGCCTTATAACCTAGCTTTTCATTTAGTCCACAAATTACTTAATTCCTTACACTTGTCTTATAATGCTGTTTCCATCCAGGTAAATACATTAGCTTTGAATAACCAGTGATGTTAACATATCCCACCAGACAACTCAAGATTAAACTGACACTAAAACAGAAGCACTAGGGAAGAAGTTACCCAGCTCTCTGCTCTAGTTTGGCATGTTAAATGGCACCAGGCTCTTAAGGGTTTGGGAGACCAGGAATCTCATGCCTGTGTACCCATGACCCCACCCTTGCCACTGTCATAGTAGTCTTATGCTGACAGTCCCAGAACAGAACCCAACCAATACCAACCAGGGTCAACAGAGAAGCTAGCTCTCGAAGCTCGCCGTGCTGGTTCCTACAAATTGGGAAAATAAGAAGAGGAATTTAAGTGCCTTTCTTAGTGTGGTCATTGTGAAACAATGAAAATATTCTTTTCATTAATTATATTCTTTGCTAAAATGCTTCTTCTTTACGACATTTAGAGACTTGAGAAACAGATCCAAGTGACTTGAAAGTTAGTGGCCATGACCTAAGCACTTCTTAGCTGACTTAAGAGCTTTTTTTTAAAAGGTTTATTTTTATATTTATGTGTATGTGTGTATGTCTAGGCACACTTGTGTGGGTACCAGTGGGGGCCAGAACAGAATATTGGACCCTATAATAGCTGGAGTTACAGGTGGTTGTGAGTTGCCCAATGTGGAGGCCAGACACTAAACTTGGGTCCTCTGGAAGAGCAGAGAAAACTCTTAACCTGTAAGCCACTTCTCCCCGACCAGCCCCCCAGTACATTTTCTAGAACTTCTTTATCTTACAAAATCACATGAAAAAAGAAACAAAATTAAAATTAAGTTCCCCCATCTGCTAAGTCACCACAGGCATAAAACTATAGACACCGTAAGTTTCACCAGAAATGCACTCAAGATGTGCTAAATTGCAGTTCCAATGATATCTGTGCTCTTATCCCTAGCAGGTATCTGTTGTGTATCAAGAGTCAGGAAGTTAAGGCACACAGAAGAGCAGCACATCCATGGGTATTACAACTTCAGAGCCTGAATAGCAAATCCAATCCTCTTCCTAAACCAATAGACAGTTCCTACACATTCTGCAGTATGAAATAGTTTTGGAGGTGAAGAACATATGTTTGTGTATGTTATGAACAGAGTTGATATTGGGTGTTTTTCTCAACTGCTCACTACCTTATTTCTTGGGACAGGGTACAAACTAAATCTAGAATTTAGCTGGACTAGCTGGCCACCTAACACCAGGAATCCTATCTCTGCTTTCTCAGTGATGGGGATTACAGGTACATGGTAGACATCCAGATTTTTTTTTTACAAAGGTTCTAGGTTATCAAACCTCAGGTATATATGTTTCCAGAAAAAGCATTTTACACAGAGCTATCTTCCAAATCCTGTAATTTTAATGATTATATTAAACAGGCATGAAATTCCTAATACATTACTATGACATTATATGTATTGAATTTTAACACTCAACAGACTAGAAAACAGACAAACAGTTCATCAACCATTGAGTGGTACTTATCTATCCAATAGATCTACAATTACCAATAATTTTATTTTCTTACACTTATTAACAAGTTGAAAGGTGGCTGGTGTGTGGTGGGATACCTCAAAAATAGCTTCCACCATGGGTTGATGAGTATTGGGCTCTTCAAAGGAAGAAGCAGTATTTAACATGACAGAGATCTTGGAGAAAAGTGTCTGTTGCTAAATGCAGGCAAACTCTAAGGCTCCTAATCCAAGGAACTGCAGCTAATTCATGGTAGCAGTTTGACTAGCATTCTAAAAGGAGAAACAGAGATTCTCAAGATTTACCCTAACGTTACTGAGTCCCACTAAGCCTCTAATCATGTGTCCACAATTGTGCTTTAGTAAATGATAGCAATGGCAGTTATCTTGCTGATATTCTCAAGTGACAGAATTCCTTCACATGACAAGCACTAGACTCATTTTCTTCTCAACTAGGAAGCTTCTTCAGCACTCAGTTTTCACAATATAATTATTTTAGACACACAGAGATGGACAGCCTCAATGAGTAGGAGACAAAATGACTCATGAGATGTCTCTTTTACTTCTGTTAGGTCTCAAACCTGGGACAAATGGCTAACTGAGGTGCCCATCAAAGTGGATGCTGGCCACCAGGTTCTCCCAGCATTCCTTACTCTCTACCTGTTACAGGGTCCTCTTGGCTGGCATACTCCATCCACTAACCTAAACTTCTCTAGCTCACGGGCTCGAATGCCCTCAAGTTCCTCTGGCCCTTATATAACACAACCATTTTAGCTATACCAGTCTCTTGGCCCAAGCCACCCCTCTTTGGTAGGAGATTCTTCTCCCCTGACCCCACTTCTCCTCATATGGCCCTGCTCTGGGCCATGTTCACTCTGGACTGTCCCAGATGTCTCTGTCTCTGCCTATGCTCTCAAATCTACAATAAACCTCCTCCTCCACCATACCTAGGAACAGTCATATTCTTCCTTTTTTATATCTTTTTTTGATTCAATTTCAATGTATTCAGACTATTCTAACCTTGTAAGATCACAACACAGTCTAGTAGAGGGTAAGACCAAGTTAGCACTCTGTTTTTGAATAGCAAAAAGAAATAGGGTTTTAGTTATTTTTACTATGTTCATGGACAACTTATTTCCTTATTTTGTTACTTATACATTTCTGCTATAATCAGAAAGCCATTCTTGGCCACCAATTTAAAAGTGACAAATCACTTGTTAAAACATATAAGTGAGTTCCCGTCATGATAAAGAACCAGTCAAACCTGAGTAGTTCCCCTCACCTGTCCAGGTGATTTTCCTGGAAATCCAGTTGAGCTGCTTCCATCCTCATGATTTCCATTTTCATACCTACAGTACACAGAGAATCAGGTGTAGGATTTGAACCTCCAGGTTCATAGGTTATAGATATAAACCCTGAAACAAACTTAAGGCTTTGTTCATAATATTTATTACCTTACACAAAGAAATTGTTTTGGTTAGGAAAAAGTTTTTATACTAAAAACTTAAACGGAAATCTAACTACAAAACTATGTTCTAGAATTATGACCCCTAGTTTTTCAGTCTCTCTGGAGGAAAGGCACATTTTAGGAAGATGGCACTAGAATCATGACAGATCTTGGTGATCATTCACAGCTGAAATCCTTTCCTGTGTACAATGAAACTTTGGTACCTCAGTAAAGTAGCCTAATTTGAATTTAGATGCTGTCTATGTAAGATCTAAAGACAGCTAGCATCTGGAACCTTCCTCCAAGCTATTACAGTGTTGAACCAAGCCTCTTTTAAAGAGTCTAGTCAATAAAAAGGTCCCTTCAAATTGTTCATAGAGACAAAGGATACTTTATAAGGACTTAAGGGTAAATCCATCAAGATATTGGACCTAAGAAAATAGTCTATTTAGCCAGGCAGTGGTGGCACACGCCCTTGGTCCCAGCACTCAGGAGGCAGAGGCAGGCAGATCTCTGTGAGTTCGAGGTCAGGCTGGGCTACTGAGCGAGTTCCAGGAAAGGTGCAAAGCTACATAGAGAAACCCTGTCTCAAACCGCACCCTCCAAAAGAAAATAGTCTATTTATAGACAAGTCACTCAACAGCAGGTTCCCAGAGACAGCAAAAGCCATAAGAATTATAAAGAGTTGAAATTAAGGGAGTAGAAAAGTTGTGCTATGTGAGCACTAATCAAAAGGAATTGAGTGTATTTAGTATTTATCACCCAAAGAATCACTAAGGCAAAAGATGTGACTAAAAATAGGAGATATTTAAAATGACAAAGAATTCTGTGCATAATTTAGAATTATGTCCAGAAGGAGTCCACAACCATATGCCCGGTATAACATCAAAAAATAAAAAACAGAAAGTGTTAAAGAAATTTAACAAAGCCGGGTGGTGGTGGCGCACGCCTTTAATCCCAGCACTTGGGAGGCAGAGACAGGCGGATCTCTGTGAGTTCAAGGCCAGCCTGGGCTACCAAGTGAGCTCCAGGAAAAGGTGCAAAACTACACAGAGAAACCCTGTCTCAAAAA